ATTTTATTACGCGACGTGAAATTGCCCATCGAGGCTTAAGCCCAGATGGAGCAACACGTCAAGTAATAAAAGACACTTTTGCCTTGCTAGCATAAACGATTTTTTGTAATTTAGTATCCATTCGTACATATTTAAAAAAAAAAAAACAAGATTTAACTGTCAATCGTAATAAGGATCGTATATAGATTGCAGTTTTCCGTTGATACGGAAATTAAAGCGTTGCTATTTACATATTTTTCCAAAAACGCAAAAAACAAATTACACGTTACACGTTTTCATTAATTTCATCAGTGTTTTTGTGTGTGACGCCGTATTAATAACTATTAATAATCTTAGGAAACATGAGTAATTCAAAAGATGATGTGCCCCCGATATTGAAAACGTTGCCAAAGAAGCAATTTCAAATTTATTACCGTCAAAGTCGAAGGAATTACATGAAATGGCTTACAAACGCTATGAAGATTGGTGAAGAAGTTCAAAACTACGTCAGAAAAAGCAAGTCTTGCGTATTTTTCCAAAAAAAACAAACAGCTAAAAAGCTACAGGGTGGAGTCAATATTCAATGTTGCGATCAACGACAGGAATAAAACAAAATGGAGACATAAGTAAATGTATACATTTGATTGTTTTTTTAAAGCGAAACGCTGAAGGTTATAAACCGAAAAAATCAAAAATCTTTACAAGGAACGATATCAGTAGATTTTTAAGGGAAGCAGACAATATTTATCTGGCAATTAATTTTTTGCTAAAATTCGATAAACTTTTTGCTAAAATTTATCGAATTTGTTGTATAATCCCAATTTCTGTAGGTTACCTTCATAGTTGACGGATGGATGTCGAAAAGATGAATTAGTCCACATGCTGACTGAAGACATCCTCTAACGTTAGCGGATTATCATCTGCTTTTAGTGGCGCAACATTTAAAAACTGTACTGTCAATATTTATAATAAATAAATTTGCTTATTTTGAAGTTAATTTTCTCGAAAATTTGAGAGTACAATATCGTTATCACTAGTATTACACTGCACTATCCAAAGTGATATACGTGTCTTTGCAAAAATGTTGATGAGGTTATTACAAAATTTTGTTAAGGGAAAACTCATTTGAAACATACGCTCAGCACGCTTCTTTACATACAGCGTGTTATAGAAAAATACATACAAAGTAAAATCGGCAATTGGTCTCGAAGTATAGGTGTTAAATTAAAAACAAAGTTCAGGTAAAAGTGTCCTCTTCTTAGAGATAAAAATTATTAAAATTTATGTCCAAATTCGTTGTACGCCTCTGATAAAAAGGTCATCTTTTGTTTCTACAGCAACAAAAGGGTTTCTTATTTTTTTATTAATGTTATAGTTGCTACGATTTACTAAAATAAATTAATTTTACCTATTTATCCTTCAGTAACGTCCAAAAAGGTTGGATAGGGTTTAATTCTCCTTATAATTTTGATAACACAAAATAAGTTTTTCAGGCTTCTTAGACTTCGCGAAGACCTGTCAATTTTGTTGTACGTATCTTTCAATAACACCCTGTATATTTTAACGTTACATACATATCTTTATTTTAATTTAAAAGTGTTCTCATAAAAAAAATAAAATTCTTATAATCAAATTTTATCCTTTTTCTAAAAAGCTGTTTTATTGTACTTCAGGGGCGAGGGAAATTCTGTCGAAATAATCTTCGGCCAATTTTTTAACCAAATCTACATTTCATATCTTGAAAACTACAGCTTAAAATGTCCAAATCGTTTTGAATTTCAATGTCGCAGTGGTTTTGAAACATCTGATGGGTGATGAACATATTAGATTACCGTCAAGTGTAAAAATCTTTTTATTTTTTTAAGAAGCTTTGAATGCCAAATCTGGCTAATAACATATTCTGGAAACTTAGTTAGTTAATTTAAATAGTAGTTCTTGTATGCTGTCTGTGAAAACTGGATTTTAATTACAACGTAGCTCAGGGTGACGCCTTTGAAGGTTATTTTTTGAATACATGTTCGATAAAATCTTCCATGACTATGGTGACGATCATTCGGGCTGTACAGGTGCCCATTAGTACGCCTAAAAGTTTGTTTTCACAATTTCCCTCATTAGTTAAAATAGATGAATTGGTGAAGTTTAACATAAAATTTAAAAATTCGTTGGTGAGAAGCTTAGCGAAACATTTGGATATTTTTATTGAAATGCTTGGATAAAAATGTTTATGATTTACTTTTAACTTCATCTTTATTCAGGAATATCGTGGAATTAAAAAAATCTTTTTGTCTTGATTGTAGTAAGTAGTTGATTTTGGGGTACTCTATACAACTCTTTTACGAGATAAAAATTTAATATTATTAAGAAGTGAGGTAAAATTCTCACAATTAACGTAATGTAATGTAACTATAGATATTATTAATACATCTAATGACAATATGATTTTTTATCTTACAATAGTAGGTTTTCGGGTAGATGCAGTTGTATGTATTACGAAACAAAAATTCAACATTATTAACAAGTGAAGTAAAGTGGTCACAAGTGATATAGTAATATGATGTAATGTAGTTGTGGGTACTACTAATACATCTAATGACAAAACGATGTTTTAGGTTAAATGTGCTTATTCTTACTTTTATGTAAAAACTGTTACTGCAATATAAAACGTCGTATATCATACGTAGGGAAATGCCATTATAACCTCGTGTGAGCAATACAGATTTCTCTCACTTATAATATAAAATACTATTAAGTTAAATGAGTTTTCAATTTGGATTCACCTTATACTTAGTTTTATGTAAAAGCTTCTACTACAACTTTATCTAATCAACCCCACCAACAACGTGATGACATCACTTCAAAACTGTACGCAGTAACTGGGTTTTAAATTTTATTAAATAAGATACTCCTGCACGTGTAATATATGAACCCGTGTTGAGTTTTTACCCAAGACATTGGATTATTGGGAAAACAATCAAAATAACAACATTTTGAAATTTAATTTTGAAACTAAAAAACCGAATGCTTTGAAATATTGCAGACATTTTAAAGTTATCACAAACATGGTAAATTTTTAATCAAACATATCTCTTTATCCCCCCAAGAAATTGATGACGTCATCTCAAAATTTTGACCAATAAATCCTATCTAAAATACGCAAAATATGATGACTCTTTACTTGTGATTTATCACTGCATTCATATTTTTTAGACTTACTTATACAAGGTAACTCAAAAAAATTAATGAATGAGGCAACCTATTTTATTGGTCAAATCAAAAAGGGCTCGCCTCTTTTTCCCGAAAATTTCAGTATTCAGTACTGTTATTATTAGTATTACACTGCACTTCTTCAAATTGATGTACGTGTAATTGCTAAAATGTTAATGACGTCATCACAAAATTTTATAATGGATCACTTGAAACATACACATAGCATGTTTCTTTACCTTTACTCGGGCATAGAAGGGTGCGTCCAATAAAGCTATGCATTATTTATAGTTTAAGAAATATTGTTGTACTCTATAAAATTTTACTGACAATAACGCGTGGCGGTAATCGGCAGATGTTAGAAAGCAGACTAATCCAGGTCCGGACAGGGACCATCGTTACTCACGAACAAATTCGGGTGGACTGGTGTGCGCCATAAATATTTCTTACGGTTGTACTACTGTCCGGCTCGTTATTGTCAATAAAATTTTATAGGGTACAACGATATTTCCTAAACTATACCAACATCTATCAAACTGCAGTAAGAAAATTATAAACTATACTTGTAACATAAATAGCTATTAGTAGGTAGTAAGAAACGAATTTACGGACAAATGAGTAAATTCTCTTGTCGAAATTTTTAACACTTCATAATAATTAATCACTTTAACAGACCATAAAATCGGTACAGAATTTGCAAGACTAATATTTCATCACTTTCGGAATATTTGCTTGGGTGTTTCAATTTTACGGGACCAAATTAATTGCTGTTTTTTTATCGAATTGTTTCTTACAATTTAATAATAAAGGTCATCCAAGAAACCGAATTTTTCGACTGCCCTGTTTAAATTATATTCCTAATTTTTTTGTCCATATTTTTCGACGTCTCATTTACTCAGAATTTGAGTTTTTTTTATCTAACAAGCCGATTCCGGTGGGTACTCCGGCAAATCACTAGTGTAATGATATACCTAAACTTCCCGTTGGAGCGTTGTACCTTACTGTACGGTACAAAAATGAATTAGTTTTTGCTTCAAATTTACCCATATTCAGCAGCGTCGATTAGATAAAAACGCAACGACTATAGCATTGCAAATTCAGAAGTACCTACTTACAGAGGACAATTTGGAAAAACACAATAATTGTTAACGCACGGTGTTAACTTTAACTAACGTTTAGTTACTTAAACTAAGTGTAGTGGCACCTTACTGCATGCAGCTAAAACAGATTGAAGGTCACTCGCTTAGTCTGCCCTCTGCGTAATTAAATTAGTAATTAATTACATTCAGAATAAAATTTCTCCTTTTTTTTCTAATTTTTTAGTTGACCAAGTAACCGCCCCATCCATACCAATATCAAAAAACTAAACACATCGTACTAAAACAACCGGACGACCTTGTCTATACCGATCACCACTAGATAAACTGACTAAAATTTTACAAAAATTCACAGATATCACTGCATAACATGCTCGTTGCTGTATCGCTCCTCAAAAGAACGTATAGTGTATTTTAAAAAGAAAAAGATCTACATAGATGTATTACAGTGCAGTACTTTAGCCAAGAACTATTTATACCAACCTATCCATACTATTAGCAACCGTTATGGAACTTTAGTTATATTACTATTTCCATTACTACCTATAAAGTAAAAAATTTATTCTTTACAAAAACATCTAGAAAAACACTTAAAAAAAGTTTGTATGTGTTGTGCAACTTAAAGTGAGCGTTTTTATATTATTAAGAAACTAGGTATTAAATGACTAAGATTTTTGTATTATTTTTTTTGTGAAAAACTTCCAGTTATTTCTAACTAACATGTTTTGGATTGTGGTTCTTGCTGTGACGTTTGCAACATTATACTGGCTTTTAGTCCAGCCTTATAAATACTGGATAAAGATGGGTGTAAAACAAGGAAATCCTGTTTTTCTGTTTGGACACTTGTGGGGTATTCCTTTGCGTAAACAGTCTAATGCAGAAATGATTGAAATGGTATACAACATTAGTTCTACTGCAAGGTAGATTACTATGTAAGTAAATATATTTTTTAATTTTGTTTTTAATTGCAGATACTGTGGTATATATCAATTTCTAACACCAGCACTTATATTGAAAGATCCAGATTTAATTAAACAAGTCACTATAAAAGACTTTGATCACTTCGTTGATCACGGAACTATAATACCTGAAGAATGCGATCCTTTGTTTGCCAAGAATTTATTTTTTCTTACCGGCAAGAAGTGGCGCAAAATGAGATCAACACTGAGTCCAGCCTTTACCAGCAATAAAATGAAATACATGTTTTATTTAATTTCACAAAGTGGACAGCAATTTGTCGAACATTTTTTAAAACAAAAGAAAGAGTTAATTACTTTGGAAATGAAAGATACGTTCACCAGATTTACTAACGACGTCATTGCTAATGTAGCTTTTGGAATTGAATGTGATTCGTTAGGACAACCACAAAATCAGTTTTTTTTGATGGGCCAAGAAACGACTGATTTCAAAGGATTTTATAAAAATACAATTTTGTTTGCTTATTTGCTAATTCCACGAGTTTGTAAAGTAAAAAACCAGCATTTCAAGTTTATTCTTCTTTAATATTTTTCACTTTTAGCTTTTAAAATTATCATTTTTCTCTAAAAAAGTAGGTATTTTTTTTAACAAACTTATTTCAAAAAATATTCAAAGTAGAGAAGAACACGGAATAATAAGACCAGATATGATTAACCTACTATTGGAAGCTAGAAAACATGGATCTATTACTCAGAGGGATCGTAATACCATTCCTGGTATAGGTTTTGCCATTGCTCAGGAATTTGATACTGGAAAAAATTTAAAAGCTCAAAAAATGGAAATTACAAATGAAGATATTACTTCACAAGCTTTAATTTTCTTTTTTGGAGGTTTTGACTCTGTTTCTTCTTTATTGTGTTTTATGTCCTATGAACTAGCGATACATCCAGACGTTCAAAATAAACTAAGGCAAGAGATAGACGAAACCCTGAAAAGTTGTAACGGTACACTTACTTATGAAGTCTTAATGGATATGAAATACATGGATATGGTTATCTCAGGTACATTATTTTTTTAGAGATTAAGAAATATATGACATTTTACTCTACAGAAACTTTGAGAAAATGGCCGACTGCCGCAGCAGTAGATCGTGTTTGTACTAAACCATACACAATTAAGCCAGAAAGACCTGATGAAGAACCCATTCATTTCAAAGAAAAGGACATCATTATAATACCAATATATGGGTTACACAGAGATCCTAAGCATTTTCCAGATCCAGATCGATTTGATCCAGAACGTTTTAACGAAAAAAATAAGACAAATATTAAACCGTATACATATCTACCTTTCGGATCTGGTCCTAGAAACTGCATCGGGTCGAAATTTGCTCTTCTAGAAACAAAAACTTTATGCTTCTACATTCTTGCAAATTTTGCAATAGTACCTGTTGAAAAAACACAAATTCCGTTACAACTTGCTAAGACTTTTGTTATGTTGGCCAAAAATGGATTCTGGCTTGGTTTAAAACGAAGATGTGGGTAACTTTTATTTCTTTTTCACATACGAGCACGGGGTTTCTTGACTTAGCAGATAATTCTGAAAAAATAATTTGGCTGGTAATTACTTTTTTTATACTTATGTGTATAATGAAAACACTTTTACTCGGTTTTTTCTTTCTGATGGTAGATATAGGTAACATTTTGTTAATAATATGGGGAAATAAATAAATAAATTTGTTCACGGGAGGTCCCTTTAGTAAAAATTACAAAACCATACATCCCAGATAAACATAAAATAATAAGACTAAATAAACGATACAATTACAACAATTAGCAGTGATGTGGGTAAATCACATTGTAATGCATTAAATAAACTTAAAATTAAACTCAAAATTACATTCTTGTTATATTAAATTGCTAAAGTTTGAAGGCTAGATTTAAATTGTGTTAAAAATTTCGTGTGCATTAACTTCCCGAGTTAATCTGGCTATTGGAGAAAAAAAATCCATAATTCGTACGATGTAGCTTTGTGTGAAAAGTTGGATTGCTTTTCACCTATCTTTTGCGGCAGTTTAAACTAAAAAGTTCTAGCAATTCTGAACAGCTGACATCTCCATTAAATAATCTAAAGACATAAATAAGATCGGTATATACCTAATCTCTTATTTTCAAGGGTGGCCAAATTTAATACGTCCCTGATATTCTGTTATGTATATTCTTCTCTTGTGTAGCCCAATTTCCATGCACAAGTAGCTTAGAAACCAATTTTGTACCGTTTCCAAGCTTTTAATATAGGTTATATGCATAGGCGACTATACTACTCATGCATATTCTAAATAAAACCTTGCAAGGCAGCTATATACTAATTTATGCAAATTGACGGAAAATAATTTCACAGATCTTGATTGACCCAAGTATTCTATAAACTTTACTAACAATGTTTTGTATATGTGGAACACAACATAGAGTTTGGACTCCATTATAATACCTAAGTCACGAATTTCCGAGACCACCTTTCCGATATCTGATTGATCCTATATGATATGTATTATGTAAAAACAATAATGCTAGGTTTAGTCCTGTAAAAAGAGATTTTGTTAGACTTGTCAAATTTGGTTTCCATATCGTTCCGTCTGCACCAATTTTCAACTTTTAGGAGGTTCATCTGGGGGAGCAAACACTCCTGGAGTAATACTTCTGAACATTTTACCGAATTATTTATATTATAAAGAGGTTAAATAAAAGAGAGCCACAATGGGATCCCTGAGGAACTGCGTATTTTATATTAACTGCCTTTGAGAGGAATTTACCAATGTTTACCACTTGACAACGAGTGGTGATGAAGTTTTCGACTTACTTATTAAACTTGTGATCAAACTTCATTGCATCGAGTTTATGTTTTAAAATTTTATGGGTAACCTTATCAAACGCTTTTGAAAAACCTTCATACACCGAATCAACCTGATTACATCCTTCAAGATTTACAATATACTTAGTTTTGGTAAATAAATAAATTTGTTGAAGTTGATCTGCCTTGGCAAAACCCATGTTGTGCATCGACGATTACCTATATATTTAGATACTAGTTGTAACTGATTAGCAATCAGTCGATTTAGAAGTTTTGGTAACACCAACTGATTGCAAATCCTCCTATATATGTATTTTATTTATTTACATTGTACTTATTGTATTTTATAAATTTTACGTTATATTTAGTTATCTATTATTAATATACTTTTCCTGACATGTACAAACATCCCGTATGGGATGTAATGTATGAATAAAATTATTATTATTATTATAGTTTGATGTGAACTCCTTGTCGCCGGATTTGTAAATTGAGACCAAATAATTCGTTTTCCAAAAATTAGGAAACACACGATTTCAAGACTAAAATTCCATTAAATACTTCCCCCATAGTTATTAGCCTAAAATTCAAATTTGTTCTACCTGATACTTTATTCAGGTCAATAATGTTGGATGGATGGCTGTACGTAACAGTTTGAAAAACCAAATTAATTGTCATTTGTAACCTGTCACTTAATGACTTAAAGTCATAGTTTTTATTATTTTAACGTTTTTCAAGTGTGAATTACAGAAATTCTCGTTGATCCAAGCTGAAAAGAACAAAACAGTCGTTTTCAAAACTCTTGGTGCTTGCGTACAAAAATTTTGTAAATATGCTAGGAAATGAAGTCCGTGAAAATGATTTATTCTGTTGAACAAGACACTTTCATTGTTACGTCTTGTTATCTGGTCAAATACCTTGATTTAATAATAATTCAAGATGAATCGTTAGAGGCTCAGATTAGAGATGATGTAATCAACAGATTTGTTCGAACTGACAGTGTCAACAAAGGGAAATTTCTTTGAAGACCTTTAGTATCTGAGAAAGTTGTTGATGATTTGAGACGACTTGAGCAGAATGCGCAAACATCTTTAACAAGTTTTTCTCAGCAGGCAGGAGTTTCTGTTGCAACGAAATTCCGGTGGGACGGTCCGGAATCTCGCCGATAACGTGTGGTGGCGGCGTACCTGGGTGCCAAGCCTTGGGCCGACTAGTGGCGCTGATAAAGTACCACGTCAAATCTTACGGCTAATTTTAACTTAAAACAATAATTACAGGACAAATTTACAAAAAAAAAAAAGAATAAGACATCCGTCACGGTCGTTCCCTCCTAGGCGGTGACTTCCTTCAGGACGGGCTCCTCCTGGACCTGGGGGCGGCGACCTTGAAACTGAAAATCGCGTGGGGACGGTACGGCGACCCGGGAAGGGAACGCGGTGGCGGTACACGACGTGTGCTCGACGGTTTCGACTTTAGCCGGTAACAGAAAAGGTGACGGTGGTACGGTTTTTCTCTCGGGGGCGGCGATTCAAAAACCGGTACGCCGACAGGCAAACGACCCATAAAGGTACTTATGGAGGTCGAAGGTTTGGATTGCACACTCTACCACACTTCCTAAAAACTTTTCAAAATAGCCACAGCACAGGGCGACACACTTCTTCTCCCTCGAAAACTTCAAGCAAGAATCCTCGTCTTCGCGTCGGCGCGGCGATCGCGGATTTACCCCCGGCTGTCGGTACGCGTCCTGGTTTCCGACCCGCGAAAATTCATTTCGTTACACTATTGCAACATTACATTGAACAACGGTCACAAAATATTACAAAAGGATGTTACAGAAGATTTTTGAAATTAAAAAGAGAGTGAACATGTACCTTGAACAAAATGATGAACATTTTCAACTTTTATTGCGATGTTTAACCCGGTTTAATCGCAATAAATTTGTTTCTTTTTATTGTAATGAATTAGTTTTATTATTAAGATATGAACCATTTAGGCAACCAGTTATACAGATACGTGTGGTATTTGTCTTGCGTCCTTGGGCATTTAATAAAATCCAAAACTGAGAGGCGGCACCTGTATTTCATTGTATTGAGATAACTATTCATATTACCTGGTGAAGTATTTTATAACGATGTTATGTATTCCAAACCTGTCGATGTGCTCAATGCATTCGCACAATTTTTTTCTAGATTCGAAATCATCCTTTAGTCCACCTACGCATTGTGATATTAACTCCCTAGGTATAATTCTGACACCTGTCACGACCAAAGATATTATTTCTGCGTGCAAAAAGCTTAAGAATAAATTTACTTCCGGTGTTGATAATATTCCAGCTTTCATTATTAAAGATTGTGCCACTATTTTTGCGGAACCTTTATCTCATTTGTTTAACACTTGTATTGAGAGTGGTAAATATCCAGATCTTTGGAAAATTGCCCGTGTTACACCGGTATATAAAAAAGGTGAAGCCACTGATGTGTCTAATTATAGACCGATCTCTATATTATGTAATTTTTCAAAGGTTTTTGAAATAATTCTTCACAATAAAATATACAGCCAGATTCGGACCAGTATTTCTACACAGCAACATGGTTTTGTCAAAGGTCGGTCAACTTTGACGAATTTAATACTCTTCTCTCAGTATGCTCTTGATATTTTGAATAAAAGTAGTCAGTTAGATGTAATTTACCTAGATTTTCAACGAGCTTTTGGCTCAATTGATCACTACATTTTGTTGCATAAACTTCAAGCTCTGGCATTTGTTGGTAATTTTATCAGCCTTCTCAAGAGCTACTTACTTGGTCGACCCAGTTTGTCGCCTATGAAAGTTTTGAGTCTGCCTTGTATCGAGCCAATTCAGGCGTACCGCAGGGATCTATTCTTGGTCCATTACTGTTTGTTTTATTTATTAATGATTTGCCTAACTTTGTTGAAAGCAAAATACTACTTTATGCTGACGATGTTAAAATATTTAGAGAAATAGTAAACGCTCAGGACACCAAAGCTCTACAACAAGATTTAATAAATTTCTCTGAATGGTCACAAAATAGTAGGCTCAAGATATCTTACGATAAATGTAGTATTGTTACTTATTCTAACAAAAAGCACACCATCACTAATAGTTATAACGTCGATAGGAAATATATTGTTCGTAAGGAAAGCGTAAAAGATTTAGGATTTGTTTTTGATTGCAAATGTAAATTTCAAGACCATTACAACTACATAGCAGTCAAAGCATGTAAGACTACTGGGTTCATTATACTTAATGCTAAACTGTTTAATGTAGAATGTACCACAAAGTTATTTATCTCCTATGCACGTTCTGTTTTAGAATATTTCTCAATTGTATGGTCCCCGATTGATCAATGTCATAAATTGTTAATTGAGAAACAGCAAAGGCGATTTCTTAAGTACCTGATGTACAAGTGCGACAAGGTTTACCTCCCAGAAAATATCCACAGGAGCTAATGCTGCAGAGATTTGGCTTGAAAGCTCTAGAAGCGAGAAGAGAAGTTGCTGCAGTGAAATTTTTGTATAACGTTGTGAATAATTTAGTTGATGTTATTGATATTGTCAGTATGTTAAATTTTCATATTCCGCAAAAATTTCTTAGAAATAGTGATACATTTTATCTACCTAAATGTAGAAACAAATATGCCAAAGAGTCTCCGATATATTTTATATGTTCTGTCTACAACAAATATGGCAACAATGATTTATTTTTTGATAAATTAGGTAATATCCTTAGAGAAATTTCCGGCAGTTGATATGTGTTGTATTGTCAAGTTTCCTCGTAAGCTTAGTGCTATAAGAATACCGTAGTTAAGTTTGATTTTATATTTAGATTTAGAAGTTTTTTCTTTCTTGTAATTATCCTGTAATTGGGCAAAAGTCCGTTGGATAATAAATCTTTATTATTATTATTATTAATGATATTATATTATTTTTATTTCTCCTATATTTTCAACATAATTTGGGATCAGAATGTATGTCTTGTCGAAATATGTTTGAAATGCAAAGTGGTAAAACCAAAAGGTGGAAAAGTGACCCAAAATTAAAATGCAAAAATATGATGAAACATTTTTTATTAAATCTTGTGGAAACAAGCCGAAAATATGGTTCTTGTTTGAAGAAGGATAAAGAGTGAAAATAAAGTGTGTAAAATCTATTTACCCAGCTTCTCGTCCTTTCAAAATAAACATTACAAATCTATGTTACCAGATATTAAATATGTGAATTTACATAATATCAGGTTTATATCATCCTAACTAAGCAAAAAATAATTCCTAAGTCAGTAAGTAAACAAATTAATAAGAATTAAAAGTACATTTTAAATTAAATCATTAATTATACTTGCAATTTCAACAAACGAAAATGTTACACCAAACAAACAAGAAACATCAACTTTAATGAGAGATTAATTATTCACATATTCACTCTTTTTTCCCCTCCCTTTTTATGATGACGTCAACAACATTTTAGCAGGGACAAGAATATCAGTTTGGATAGGTACATGTAATCTTAGAGCATATAATAAATAGATACCAATACTCAAACTGAAAGGTGTGACTAGACATGAAGCTATCTGTTGTCGTTTTCTACGTCAAGGGGAGTAGTATAATGCTATCCTTGTGTGATCACCACATCTTCATCTTTGTTATATGCATTTCATCTGTATATGTCTATTTCACTTCCATCCTTGTACCGCACCAGCGCAACAAATCGCTTTTGACAGATGTTTCTTCTAACCTCTCTTTCGAGTTGTTGTACAAAAAACAATTTTAGAATTTAGAACAAAGATCCTATTTTAAGTGATGTAGTCATAAAGGATCACAATTGCTGCCCAATAATTTACTATTGCTTTCGTTATCTACTGTGAATTATTTATAAAATCAAGCTGTCAACATCTTTCTTCCGAAGTTAGTTCAGACATACTTCCTAAAATTTAGGCGCGCAAAATTCAAATAGTGATCAGGCAAAGATAGCTTCATTGTAATCCCTCCATGCACGAGAGAGATGTGTGACAGGAGGATGTCGTCACAGGCTGTCCTAGGGAAAGAACACGGCATGGTGGTATCTATTTATTATATGATCTAAGCATGTAATACTAATAATAACAGTAGGTACTCTATTCCCAATTTTTCAAAAATATAGGTTGAGCACTTCTAAAAATATGAATATACTGAAAAACTACAAACATAGACCCTTGGTTTTGCATATTTTAGATAGAATCTATTCGGCAAAATTTTGATATGTCATAATTGTTTCGGGGGGTTATAAACGGATAGTTTGATTAGTAATTTTCCATCCGTACAAGAACCTTAAAACGTTTACAAGATATCAAAGCATTCTAGTGTAAACATCAAAACGGATTCATAAACCATAAGTATAGAATTGTCTTATTTTATACAATTTAATTAACATTTACTATGCAAAATGTTGAGGTGACGTCATCATATTTACGGAGGGAAGAATTAGACAAAGTTTGGTTAGTGTTTTACCATTTTATCATTATCTACACAATATATGTATTATATTATTACTCATATAAATACTAATAAGATGGTAACTAGTATACACATTTCAACAAGATGCCTATAATATTGCCTACCACTCGATCAACTTGATAAAAGATACAATTATTTTCTAGGCATTGTCCTAATTTGTTGGTAATACATAAAAAAATACATTATCCATTATATTAACACATCATTTATTGGAAACGACGCTGAAGTCCTAACCAAAAACCTTTTTCCGCTGCCATATTGATAGCTTTTCTATTGAACCGAATTGGTATTTGTGTCTTTTCAATTGGAATTATATTAAAATGTGACAAAAGATGGTAAAATAAAATCTTAGTCTCCAGCAAAGCGAATCTTGAACCAATACAACTCCTTGGTCCCACTCCAAATGGTATAAACGTGTATGGTTTAATTTTACTTTTGTTCTCCTCACTGAAACGTTCTGGATCGAAACGATCAGGATCTGGATAATTTTTTGGGTCTCGCTGAATTGCATACATCGGAATATAAATTACATCATTCGGCTTTAGATGAACAGGTTTTTCATAAGGTGTTTTTGGTTCAATTGTATATGGTTTTGTACAAATTCTATCAGTAGCGATGGCATTTGGCCATTTTCTTAATGTTTCTGAAAAATTTCGTTAATATAATCTAATATCACTAATTGTTTTGTAATCAAACCTGATACAACCATGTCCATGTATTTCATAGAAACGATAAATTCGTATGTAATTATTCCATTGCACTTTTCTCTGATGTTGTCTATTTCTTCCTTAAGTTTTTCTTGAACATCTAGATTAACAGCCAGTTCATGCGCCATAAAACACATAAGCGAAGATACAGAGTCGAATCCCGCAAAAAAAAATATAAAAGCTTGAGAAGCAATTACTTCGTCTGTTATTTGGGTTTTTCTAAATTTTTGGTTTTTATCAACCTCCGATTCTTCTACCGTTGCAAAGCCAGCATCTGGTATAACGGCTTCCTCGTCCTTCGAGCTGTTTTTTCTTGCTTCGAGTAATAAGCTGATCATATCGGGACGCACAACAGCATATTTTTCTCTGCTCTCAATATTTTCTTTTATTATTCTAGTAAAATATTTAATCATCTTGTCGGAAAACAACGATATTTTAAAAAACTGTAACAAAGAATTTGGTTTAATATAATTAATCTGAATCAGAAGACAGTTACCGTAATAAGTTTTGGTATAACAACGTATCCTATAAAGACGAAGATTTTCCGCAGACTAGTAAAATCAGATGCTTCCTTGCCCATGACAAAGAACTCATTATTAGGTTCTTTTAAAGAATCACATTCAAATCCAAATACAGTATTCCCAATGATATCATTTGCAAATCTTGAAAGAACATCTTTCATTTCTACCGAAATGACGTTTTCATTTTGTTTCAAGAAATGTTGTACGAACTGTTCTCCACTTTTCGACATTAAGGAAAACATGTATTTCATTTTACTGCTTGTGAAGGATGGACTTAGCGTGGATCTCATTTCTCTCCATTTATGTCCTCGAAGGGAAAGTAAATTGTTTCCAAATAAGGGATCTGCTTCTGCAGAAATAAAACCTCTGTGATCAACAAAATGATCAAAATCTTTTACTGCTACTTGTTTGATGAGTTCTGGATCTCTTATTATAAGACTTGGTATAGTAAACTGATATACTCCAACGTACCTATTTTTTAATACTGTCAATACTTTTTTTAACATAAAAATTTACTTACCTTGAGTCTTTGTTGTAGTTGTACATCTTTTGTATCACTTCAGGAGGTGCTTGTTTTCGAAATATTATTTCCCATGAGTCTCCGAAAATGGGCATGGGTTTTCCTTGCGGAACCCCCCTTCTAATCCAGAAGCTATGAGGTCGAATTAAAAACCAATAAGCAAAAGCAAGGACTGCAGTAACTATATATAACCACATGTTTTAGTTAATATATATATCTTAGTTACTAAATAAATATAAGTATTTTTTAAGTATAAATGTAACATACACGGAAGCGTTAGTCTGAACGCAATTAATTATATACCTAGTAAATATCTGAACTACACATCAAACAAAAACCACTTCCTTAAAAAATATGAACTTATAACTTAATCATATCTTATCTTTTAAAACTAACTATTCGATAACAGTCAAGAGCAACGCTACGTTTGAATATTATGTAAATACTAACAACAATTAATCGACATTATCTAACCCAGCATGTGCTCAAGGACACACTCACAAAAGAGTATGCGAAATTCTAAATTTCACTCGACATCAATCTCGCTTAAACAAATTTAAGTACAAATTTTATTGTGGTTTAATTACCAAACTTTAACATCAATAAAACAATTATTCAGGAAAAAAACAGTAAAAACGACGTAAGAAGTTTAAAAGTTAATACGTTCTACTGGTATTAATAAATAAACTTATTGTTTTGTCAAACTTAGTGAAACATCAATTCAAGATGTATAAAAATAATTCATTTGATGGGATCGTAGACCAGCGAGTCAGTGCGAAGGTTAACGTGTCGTAAATAAGATATTTTCAACAGTAATCTCAGTGCGATTTGTAAGTTTAGTAATGAAAACAGAAAAACATGTTCCTTAATTAAGAAAATAAATATAAAAATGTACAAACTTTTCTACACATTATGTGCCAAAAATGAAGAACAAATTCACTATAAATTTCAGAGAGATACTTAAAGAACAATCGGATAAAAGTTGATCAATTTAAATGTGATGGATACCGCGCATCTGCTGTCTTTACGCCTACTTAAAATGGGATTAATAACTATATTGATTTTTCCAAAATTTTTAATAAATGAAACCAAATTTCAAAAATAAATGAAAAAAAAATGCATAGGTATAAAAAATTATGGCTAAAATATAGTTAAAGGCTGAAAAATAGAACGCTACAGTTTATGCTGCTCCTAGAGCCTTACAACACAACTTTGTTTTTTGACTCTTCTTCCGATTCATAATAATTAATCTAAACTTAATTATAACTTGATGAAATACAAAGTGAATAATAACCAAGAATGCTGACGACTTCCAAGACATTGGACACAGCGTATAAGGAATTAAAGAAGAATGGACGAACAAACATTTGATGGTATTATTCTGCGGTTATTTTAAAGAAAAAAACGAACAGACAAGCGGATAGACGGACAGACAGACGCAAACGGGAGACCTATTTCTTCGCCCTCTATAGGTCGAGAAAATGCAAAAGTAGAGAGTCGGCCAATGGACTCGATTACAATACTTCCTTTGCTTACGCTCGGGAAGTAAAAATCAAAGTAACAAAATCAAATTTTATAATTTTTCGAAAAATATATGTTGGACTGTCGTTCAAGGCGAGGAAAATTCTGTCTCAGTAACCTTAGACCATTTTTACTCCCCGAGCGTAAGGAAAGGAAGTATTGTAATTGAGTCCGTCGCCCGACTCTCTATTTTTACGTTTTCTCGACCTTTCATGACCCCTAGAAGACAAAGAAATAGGTCTCTCATTTCCGTCAGCCTGTCCATCTGTCCGTCTGTCTGCCGTCCTGGATTTTTATTAGACAGATAATCTTCGAAAGTACTGGACTGATTGTTGTGAAATTTTGTATTTATATGTAAAACGCTAACCAGCATTTGCCTAATTATCCCCACCAATAATGTGATGATGTCACTTCAAAATTGTACATAGTAAATGGGTTTTAAATTGTATAAAATAACATAGTCCTACACCTGTAGTTTATGACTCCGAATTGAGTTTTTACCCGAAACGTCCAGATTTTTTGAAAAAAAAATCAAAATTATGAAACAACATTTTGCAATTTAATCTGGAATCTGCAATACCGAATGCTTTGAAATATTGCAGATGATTTACAGTCATGATAAGCATGATAAATTTTTATTTAAAATGTATTTGCTCATCCCCCCTAAAAAATTGATGGCCTTCCCCAAAATTTTGCTGAATATGTCCTATCTAAAATGTACAAAATATGATGTATTTTGTACTTGTGATTTATCATTTGATTCATATTTTTATAAATTTGCTCAACAGGTCGCGCAAAAAAATTAATGAATGAGTCAATTTATTTTATTCATGAAGTCACGAATAGTTTACTCCATTTTCCCGAAAATTTGGAGATACAACAGTGTTATTATTAGTATTACATTGCACCAACCCAATTTGATAGACACAAAATTTTGTAAAGTAAAAACTCGTTTGAAACATAAGCGTAATATATATATAATTTACTTTAACATAACAGACGTGTATTTGTTTTGTTGCGCTGACTAGGTTCCGTGAATGTGGTATAGACAAGTTATAATCAAGCAATTGTGAATTACACCATCAAAAATTAAAATAAAATCCAATGTTTTACACAATAAGCGGAAGTCGAAGCAATAAAAAAGTCTGGGCGACCATCGGTATTGTTTGCAGTTTCTCTGTTTGTCTCTCACGTGTACAATCTCAACAAGTGTTACCACCGCTTGTTGTCTTAAATTAAGAATGCTTATACATAAATGATTTTGAGTCGCCTGTGCTAATATAGGCGGCATACGTGAGTAAACTGTTTCGTTATTTTATTGATTATAAATCAATATTCAAGACGACCCGATTCAGTTTCCCGAAAATTTGGGAATACAGTAGGTACTTTTATTTTTAGTATTACACTGCATCTATCCAAACTGATATACGTGTCCTTGCAAAAATGTTGATAACGTTACACAAAATTTTTTTAAATTGCCCCGCTACAAAAATGTAGTGAGAAAAAAAAACATAATAGGCATGCAGTCGTCATGTTTCCGACAGCGAGGGAAGTACTGTCTAAACTCTTTAGACCATTTTTTTTAATTTTTGTTGTGTTTTATTACTGTTTAGCCTTCATAAACCTGTGGAACTTATATGCAGGGGCGGCTCATGACTTGAAAAATTGATGAGGCACAGCACAAAACGCTCTAAAATATAAATAAATCAAGTTTACTTAAATATTTTCTATTTAGTCAAATAAACAAATTTGTAAACTCATTTAACTGTCCACAAAGAACCAACGTGAAGGTGTAAGGAGGTCTTGCAAGGAAAGGATGAGAATGACAGGACAAAAGGAAAGGGAAGCGTGGTCAGAAAAAACTAATATAACTTCTAACAAAAAACAAAATTAAAATAAACTTTAAAGGAAACATATCGAAAAAGATCAAATACAACATAAAATAAAGCTAATTTGATTTATAACAAAAAACAAAATGAAAAAAATATAAAATATAAATACGGATTTATTTTAATTTTTTTTTTATGGATCAATTAACGATTTACTCAAATCAGGAACCGGCGGTTTTAATTCCTTAACTACATACAATTTATCATCATACGTGAAAGTAGAAAAAACAGAACTGCCATTGTCATTTAACGTTAGTAGAGAAAAATTCCGATTTACTCGTAATCTTAAATAACGATTACCGAAATCAAATTATGACAAGCACAAAGCACTAACGCGACACACACAAACGTAGGCACTTTTAAGACAAAATTCTGTTACCGAAATTTTGAATCAATTTATACACACACAGATTTGTGGCAAAACAATCAACGGCCTAATTTTGAATACTCCTGCGAATGCAGACTGCATTGCAATCGCACGTTCCCCGCGCGCAAATAATATAGTTGTCCATCTCTTTTGCAAGCACGGAAATGAGGCTAGCCTCAATTTTGTCTTTTTTCAACTCATACCGCTTATAAGTGTATTGCAGGTTGCTTGCCTATTAACGACATGATTTCTATATATGCTATAGAGGCAAGCTTCGAGTCGGCCTCATTCGCGTCACAAAATACATGTTGTGCCGAGTGTTTAAGCGCGCTGTTTAATTAAGGGAGCAACGAGTACCTACCGAGATAAAAATAAGAATATAATTTTCTATATTTATTTTTAAAATTTTAGAAAAAAGACACAAATTATTGGCCGAAATGTGTCCGTATAAAATAATAAAAATCCTAATAAGGCGTAAAATTCATTGGTGAGGCACTGCCTCACCTGCCTCATAGGACAAGCCGCCCCTGCTTATATGAAAGTTGTAATGAAAACAAATGTCAATTGTATGTACCTATAGTGTTTTATCAAGATTTCCAGTATTTAGTGTTTTCTAAATTGTAATAAGTACTTCATAAAAAAAAATAAATGACCCGTTATCACGATATATGTACTTACTTAATTAATAAGTAGATACTTAGCAGCGTCTTAGTTTACACCGGATGCAGAAATGTCTGTATTACTTACAACAAACTTCAGATCATTGCGTACAAACCGCAATAAGCATTCAAGATAACGCCCACTCCAATATTGTAAAAGTCAGAGAGAATGATCCGCACAATTTATTGTAGAAATTAATAATATCGCATCATGCGAGCTTGACAAATCTTGTCAGCAAAATCTCGATAAGCAAACTTCCTGTGACTTGCAATTAGTTAACGTACGTTATAAAGTTTTTCCGGAAATCGTCATACAAACAACATTTCCCTGCGTATCTACGCGCAGGAAAATTGAATTTTCCTGACTAGTATTGTAAAGACTTTAAAAGACGCAAAATAAAAAAGATACTTTAAAAAAGAACAATATATTCAAAACTATTAATTAGAAATACATATTAATATGAATTGTGGAACTTGTTATGTTTGAAATTGATTCCCGATAGTGACTTCAAATTTTTAGTAAAAGTCCCAGTCGAAATCTCATTGCCGGCGAGATCGTAGCAGATTACGAATAAATCATTACTTGTAGAGGGATTATTGCCCATACTAGTAGTTGTGTTTTTGCTGGCCCTGATTGCATTTTTCTTGCTATATCTAGCTTATTTTGTCTCGACTCCTCGATATAGCCCTCAGCCACCGTTGTACTTTGCCATCCTCCATCTCTTTTTAAATTGGTAATATAATTGATATATGTAACTCAAGATACATTGCAACTTTAGAAGGAAATTTTCCAAATTAATGTAGCCCCACTGGTTGGACAGTATATTTCCCTTGCTTGCAATTTACAAAAAGGCGCCGACGTAGAATACGAACCGGGCGTAATGCCACATAACGCCTGTACAAAGCAGGATTTCTTTCATCAACAATTACAAAGAGACGAGGTTTTTTTGTTTTAGAATCAGGAATATGTACTATTAGAACGTTATCTTGATCTTCAAT